TTGATTTTATTGTTCAGAGTCTCCAGCTGCAGTGGCAGTGAAGGAGCCATTATTAGTTTGAGCGTAAAGCTTTGGGTCCACAGCAGCTGTTGACTCAGAGATCTCAGCAAAGCATTCAGAGACAACAGGGGGACAAAGTCGGCTTGTTTGCTCCTCTGATGTCATCCTGATTAAGTTTTCAGTGATTATGTGGGGAGGCTTGTTGTTCTGAACATCTGAAGTTTAAAGTCTCTTTGGTGTTTATGTTTCACCTCCAGCCAGGAGTCACTGAGTTCAAAGGAAAACCAAGTCCCTGCACTGATCAGTCCTCCTTCTCCGTGTGCAGTACCAAGTTTAACCAGTTATTATAGTTTTTCATTCTGGTTTAGTTTATTGTGTTGTGACTAATTCAGTCATTTTTAGAGTGTTTTTGTTAGTTATTAGTTATATTTTGGTTAGTTTCCAGTAGTTATTTTAGTTTCAGTTTTTTCATACGGTGGTTGATTCTAAAAAGGTTCAAGTGTTTTGATTATATATACAATGATTTGGTGGTGAATATTCAACCGCAGGTACAATAAAAAAACACTTTGATTTTTTGTTGATTACTCCCAACATGCTGCCATTTTGCAAAATGTTTGAGGGGAAACAAATCACATCAGGTCGAAAGGCTAATGCACAGATTCATAAAAATAAAGGGTTTTATGATTTCAGTACGTTTTGGTTTTATTAACGACACATGGTTTTTCCTCATTACCATTCTTTATTTATTTCAGTTAAAAAGTTTTCTCAATTTCAGACTTGATGCTTCATGAGATCAAATTATGAACAAGACATTTTGTGAAATAATCTGAAACTCGCTCATTTTTATCAACATTAAGGAATAAAATAAGCTCCTATATCTTAGGAAAAGTTACTTAAGTAAGTTTTGTTTTATTTCAGGTTCTGAAGTTTTTGTATCAGAAACTAATCCAGGTTACTTTGTAAGATTTAGTGTTTTTGCAGTGTGAGTTTGTAAGTTTCCTTCTCGTGTCGTTGCATTTCCTGCAGAAGCTGAAGCAGAAGAACCAGCAGCTGAAGCAGGTCATGGACCAACTGAGGAACCTCATCTGGGAGATCAACTCCATGCTGGCCGTCCGCAGCTGAGCGCGGCGCCGACCCACGCTGAGGTCGGAGAGAGACCTGCAGGTTGGACAGACGGACAGACAGACTGCACTTTACATGAGAAACGGGAACTCTGGCAATATCAGCGCGTTGGAAACCACAGAAGAAGAACGAGTGACGAAGGGTTGAACGGCAGAGACAGTTCTGTCTACCTCGATGATCTATAATCAGATTTATTTAACCTAAAGATCAAATATGTTTCATGTATCTGTAGCTGCAGGCTAAATGAAGAAATTATTTAATCAGACTATACTTCCTCCAGACTGAAGTTTGAAGATAATTGGACTCCGAGTTGAAGGACGCGAGACTCACTGAGGCTAAACCGTATTTACAGCTAATCATCACTTCTTGACTCGATGTAACATCATCAGTGCTTCACTATGACTGAGTCTGACCACTCTGTTAAATACTCTGCTCAACTATAAATCGATTTGAGATTTCAGACATAAGTCACTGTTTGTTTTTCTTTGTTTGCTAGAAATCATTCTAACAAAAATGCTGTTGAATTTTTTAGAAGTTTTGGAGGTTTATTTCCTGTTGGGGCGATCTCTTCTTAAGGCGAAAAATGCTCAAGTTACGAATTTTAATCTTAATAAATGGTTCCTGGATGGTAAATCAACAACAAATCACTTGTCTTTTCCCTGTCAACCATTCCACAGTGCATACAGTGGGTTGCTAGGTGACGGACGGAACTCTGCTGGGGTTGCTAGGTGACGGACGGAACTCTGCTGGGGTTGCTAGGCGACGGACTGAACTCTGCTGGGGTTGCTAGGCAATGGCATAGTAGCCTCCTGCGTGTGTTTTTTTTTTTTTTTTTTTAAACGACTCATTTTCCAGACACCAAAAAACATTAATTTATTGCCCAAAAATGGCCGGGTGTTTTTAGAGGCAGTAGAGACCAAAATGGAGGTGCAGAACCATAAATAGAACATGTTTCAGATGATATTTTGCTACTTTTTTTGAGAATCGCTCCTGTGTAGTTGGGAGTTTTGGGCTGAAAGATCACCTGTTCTCCAAAGAAGAACCGTGAACAATTGAAGCATGATCGAACGGTTTGAGGCGCTGGTCTTTGATTCAAAGTGAGAAACGGATGCAGACACTTTGCATCGTACGCTGTGTATTTAAGTCTGTAAATCACCGAGCTAATTGTAATTCTTCTGTCAGGGTTGGAAGATTGCGGCTCTGCATGAGGAGCCGGTTCCTGTGCCGCAGTGAACCTGCAGAGAGCTCCGGCTTTTTAAATTTGAATTTCCAACAAGCTCCATCAAAGGAAGTCCTAATTTAAAAAGACTGCTCTCATTAATAAACATCGCCACTTCACCTGAAAGTCACCTGCTGGCAGCTTCCAACAGGTTGCTACATTTCAACAGCTAATTCTTCTGTTCTTTAGAGCTGAAATGTCACTTTTCTCTCTCTTTATTTCCCACTTTAAAAAGCCTTTTTGTTGTTCAAAGCCTGATCGAGGTTCTGATCGTGTGGAGCTTTCAGGCTCAGTAGGACTTTTGTTTTTCTCCAAGTTTCTTTTTACGGATTCTTACAACGGAGAAATGAGTTCTCATAATATTACAACCTTTAGTCTGATTTTATTTTTTTGAAAAAGTATTAGGATTATAAAATTACCAGCATAAAGTCAGATTACGACTTCATTTTCTTACTTTATTCCTGTATTATTTTGACTTTATTATGATTTTATTGTATTTCTTTGACTTCTCATGATGAGTACTCTGGTAATACTGACTTTGTTATTGTAATATTATGATTATTCTCATATTATTACTTTATTCTCAGAAGATCATGACTAGGTGTTGTGACTATTCTCATTATTTTGACTTTTTTCTCGTATGACTATTCTCAAAATATTGACTTTATTCTCATAAGATTATAACTAAGTATTGTGACTTTATTGTCGTTTTATTACAACTTTTTGTCTTGTGTTAATTAAACTTTATTCTCATATTACAACATAATCTCAAAATTATGACTAAGTATTGCAACTTGGGCAGCTCGAGGCTGCTTGCAGCTTTAATTTGACTTTATTTTCACATTATTCCGACTTTTTTCTTGTATTTTTCTGGTAACATTACAAAATTTTTTCTACTTTATACTACGGCTACTTTAAAACTACTTTTCTCTCACATGACTTCATTCTCATAATATTTTGACTTAATTCTCGTACGACTTCTCGTAGTACTACCACTTTATTCTCATAATTCCTAAACGTTTTTCTCCGTGGCTCTAATTCTCCGTTGTAGATCAGTAAAGTTAGACGGTGGATTAAAGGAGAGAAGATCACAGAGGACATAATCTGGAAAACGAAACGTGATCCGTAAGTCTTTACCATCGCAGATCTGCAGGCAGCCTGTTTGATACGACCCGTTTAATAATTCACAACACAGCCGGGTCGCGTCAGAGCCGGGTCGCAGCGCTGTCGTCCGCAGGGAGGAGGACAGTGGCGGCGTTGGAGGGAATCGATGTTCAGAGCGGTGACTAATAAAGCCGTCCTCACAGAGCCGGTCGCCGCGGCGCTGAAGGACCATCATTACTGTACAAACAGAGAGCCGAGCTGCAGCTGAGCCACAGGTCGGCCGCCGGGCCGTTCATGCAAAAACACTCAGCGGCGCAAATAAAACGAGAGAGAGAGAGAAAAGCTTTTATCGATGCTTCTCTGCAGATTATCTGGAAATGTTTGGTTCTTCCAGGATTAAACCAAAAGATTCAATCAGGCAGAAATCAGCAGCAGCAAATCCATTTTTGGTATCAGATTTTTTAATGTAGTTGCAATTACTAGAATAAAATCATATTAGCAGAATAAAGACACAATAATACTAAAATTTGAGAAATTGTTAGAAAAAAATGTTTTGAGGGCAAAGATCTGATGTGAGCTGTTCTTCTGATTTGAAATAATTCTTTAATTGTCTCAAAGTTCTGCCACTGATGGACATTTTGAAGTGTTGAAAGATTAAATATTTTGTATTTCTAAAACCAATACCACAGTATAACTTCACAAGAGAACTGGAATTAGTTTGATTCCTGCAAACATCCAGCACCAGTCCAAAAATTAAAAATAATCTGAATTATTCAGTTAAAACATTTAATCTCCCTTTGGGATTAATAATTTTAAATTTGATGAGAATTAGGGTTGGTAGGAGTTTTTCTTTCGAGTGACCACAATCGTAGCGACGCATTAAGATGTTTAACACTTTGAGCTAACGTCACAGGAAATCGTCATTTACAGGCGGACCGCCAGGTGACACCCGCGGACCACCAGCGGTCCGAGAACCTCAGTTTGAGAAAACGTGTCAGATATCGCTCAGTGAGTAGAAAAACCATAAACTGCACTACTACTGAAGAGGAGCACGACTTCAACATAATTTTACTCTAGTAAATGTAAAAAGTATCCGTCCAACAAATTACTCAAGTAAAAACGTATTTGGTAAAAAGTCAAGTGAAGTACTGAGAAACTGATCGATTTATTAATCATTTAAACTACCAACTCAGATGGACCAAAATGTAAAGGTCAGAGGAATTTTTAGCATTTTAAGGATGAAAATGACAAAAGAAATCAGGAAAATATTTCCAAATCAGTTTTTGTCAATAAAAAAACTTATGAAACTTTACTTATGAAACAGTTTGACAAAACTGTCCGGTGAAATTTTGGTGAAAACCTGTTTGCTTTTCATTCAGTGGGTAGAAAAACCAGAAATTTTACTCGAGTTGAGATGCATCATAGTAAAATTACTCGAGTAAAAGTAAAAGTACTTGTGTTTTCAAAAGCGATACTGAAGTAAATGTAGGTAGTTTCCACCCGGCTGTGGTTCCACCTCTGCTGATCGATCAGAAACAAACTGCAGACGCTCAGCTATAATCAAATATGAGTTTATTTTTTATTATAAATCATTCTTACAAAATGGTCATTTATCTATTTAATTTGTGGCCTCTATAAAAGTCTTCTCTTAGTTACAGGGAGGAAAAGGCATCAGGACAGCCGGGCTTCACCGATTCCCTCACACATCAACAGGAAGCTGTCGCACATCGTCACCACGGTAACGGTGTCCAACACGAAAACAATACAGCTGTGTGTGTTTGTGAGTGAAGCTGCGACTCCTCCAGTGTTTAAACGTTTGGGATCCTGTTGATAAAAGGCACAAATCAGGAACAGACTCAGAGTCCGGTTTTGAACAGAAAGACGAAAATAAAACCCAGACGCTGCAGCCGAGCTCTCCGGTGGGATGAGGAGTTTTCCCCTCACTTTGCTCCGTCACACTCGGATCAGAACCATTACCGTAATGAACCATCTGGAGCGACCCAGCTGCCTCCGAATCCGTGCCGGGACTTCATGATTTGACTCCCGCAGAGAACCGAGACGGCCCAAATCTAGATTAGCGGGGATGTTTTTGTGAGATTAGAGCTGCGGCGATGAGTCTGAAAGTTTTCCGTTTGCGTGTGACGGATGAGACGGGCCGACGGGCCCGGGGACGGGCCCGGACAGGAGGAAATAAACCGAACAAATATCAGCTGCTCCCCTCAGAGACGCAGGACTGATGTGCTCAGGTCCAACACAGTGCTTTGGAAAAGTATCCTGTCATCGTTCAATGGGATCAATAAACCAACACAAAGTAGCTCATAACTGTGAAATGCCCTGCAAAGAACAAATAGTATATATATATATATATATAAAAAAAAAAAACAAGTAAAAATTTTAACTCAACGAAAAAATCCCAGAAAGTTTTAGAAATTAGAACGTTGCTCATTTATCGTTAAATCTGATTTATTCTCGCAAAAAATTCAAATTATTAAAGTTTAAAACCCCTAAAACTGAACTGTTTTACAATTTCCTCCACTGTTCAATACGTGTATCAATACATTTGAAGATATGATTAAGTGCAGTTAGTGTGATCAGTTTAGTGATATAAAACACGTCTTTATGTGACTGCAGGGTTTCCCTCAGTGTATTATAAGCCTGGCGGGCCACCAGGCTTTACTCTTGCCCCCGTCAGGCTAAGCAGCATTTATTTCAGTTTTTTTTTAATGACTCCCTTTTTTAAGACTTTATAGTTGGTGTTCAGGTGCTAAACTTAAATCTTCCAGTAACACATCATTACCAAGTGATATTTTCAAATTTCCTGTCAACTTTTAACTGAAAAACACGACGAGCCGCTGGATGAACAACTGACCCGACACCCAGAACCCCGGGCTTTTCTGGGGAAACCCTGGACTGCTGTCCTGAACAAGCACTTATAAATGTTTAGTATACTTTTTAAAATGTGTATTTGTGTGACTATGATTGCTGTTAAACAGCTACAAAGAGCAATAAGTAGTACTTATCGTCACTTTAATGGTACCACAAACTATTGTGGTACTACTACTGAGCGTAATGAGCTAAAGTTAATAGTGAAGTCAGAGAAGTGTGTTATGTGCTAGTGTTTTTAGCTAATATGCTAACAGGTGAGTGCTGCTAACTACTGTATTTCATAGTACCTTACCTAGTGTGCAAAAAGCTACAATGATAGCATGTAGGCTAACACTAGCATGTTGACCTAAAATAGCATACTCCAATTAGCTTTTACTCGGATAAAAGCTAAAATGCTAATTTCAGAACAGTGGCTAACACTAGCAAATAGCCAAAGTTTATCACTAGATTTTAAACTGACAGAATGTGGAAATAGTTAGCTGTGACAAAGCGTTTTTTTTTTTTTTGGCAGAATGAGGTTTTCCATTCATTCCAACTGAGTCAAAATATGGATAAAAAAATCTTACAATTCTATAAATTAAGCTATTAATACCAATCGTAGCTGTCATGTCTTGAATGACCAGAACATTGTAGAAGTTCAAATGACTACTAAACAATCACAATTATTCATATTTCTAAGTTATTTATTAAATAAAAAATCTGATAAGTGCGGCATGCCTGAATAAAGCAGCCAGTTTCCTTCAGTCCGCCTGTGTTTTTATTTAATTTAAATGTGAATGTAAATGTGAAGATGTGAAGAACCTTAAAGCAAAGTTAGGTAGTTTTCAACAAATATGGTGCGATTGGTCAAAAATGTAAAGTGGGTGTGGTTTACGTTCTACTTCCTGCTTTAAAGTTTAGAGTCTCATTATGGTAACAGAGAATCTATTTACAATTCACAAAAAATCTGCCAAATATGACAGAATGTCTTCTGCTCTTCTGAGGCCATAAACATTTTTGGCTACAATGAGCACATTTGCATTGTGAAACATGGTGGCAGTATCATGCTGTTGGGTTACCTCTGCTCAGCACTGAGAGGGAAGCTCTAGATGTGTAAAGTTGGTAGAAAAGCCCAACAGGCTTGCAGTCACAGGTGATCGAGTGTGGCTGAATAAAAAATGTATTTAAAAAAAACATGCCGCACTTTTCAGATTGCTCATAAATGTTAGGCCCTCTGTTTTAAACTTTAAAATTATGTACTACTTTGTGTTTGGTCATATAAAATACATCAAAGCCAGCTGATACTTTCACAAGGCACTGTTTGTTCTGGTTGCAGTTCTCTTGAGACATTTAAGACTTGATCCGGATCCAGATGTATCGGATGAAACCAGAACCAGATGTACGTTGAACCCAGATTCTGCTTAATGGCCCAACACTCTGGATTAAACAGATAAAACAAGTACAAAACGGTAGAAAAAAAGATGATATGATATGCTGAGAGTTGTAAAAAAAAGCTTTTGCAGCGATAAAATAAAAAAAGCAGATAAAATGTGACTGTTGTTCAAGGAACCGATCGAACCCGGTAGGACTGAGTTTTCAGGTGAATGTTTGCGGGTCACACGTGATGCTTCACCACCAGCTCTTCTCTCTTAGCTGAGGCCTGACGAACGGAGGGGAAAACGTTTTAATCAAACTGCCGAGGTCGTCTGATATGTGGAGGGGAAAGAAAAAGGAAAAATGGCGCTTAGGCAGCTTGATGCGCAGCAAACAGCGAAGGCAGAATGGCACCGATTAAAAACAGAAAATATGGCGGTCAAATGAAAAATTAATCTTTACTCCATTAGGATCGTGTTCATGCAAGAAAAGGTTTGGGTTTGTTCTCTGCTGCGAGCAGCCAGGGTTCAGCGCTACGAACGCACCGAGAGACGGAAATGAGAGGAAAATGGGTCACGAAACGAGACGACGTCCCGGCCTGGAGGAACGAGCCGAGGGCCGGACGGAACCGGCGCCAGGCCGGATCCCTCACCTTCAAATCAAATTAAACTGGTGTAAAACACTTGAGCTGCGATCATTTTAAAGAGATAAATATTTCCAGAGGTCATTCAAGGTCAAATATTTACAAAAATCAAGAAAATTTGGTATCAAATGTGCTGCCATTTTTTTTTAGCTGCACAAAACATGGCGCAACTGTTATCAGTTTTACTGATTATTATGCAAAATTAACCTTTTCTACTTCCATCAGGATTTCTACTGCTTCTAATATCAGCCAAAGTGCTTAAAAGAATCAAACTCAGCCATTTTAAAAACCTACGGAATGCAGACGCTGCCCCGTCACCTAGCAACCAAAACGGAACTCCGTTACTTAGCAACCAAAACTGAACTCTATCAGGTTTGTTCAGCTGGTCTGACCGCTGTATGCGCTGTACAATGGCTGCTGGAAAAATGAGAAAACAAGTGCTTTGTTATTGACCTTCCGTCAAGAAATCACTAATTGCATTCTTGTTGGTTGTGCAGGAGGCGCCTTTCTGATTTTCAAAGATGTACGGTTGTAGAATTGCACATTTTGACACATCAAAAATTAATTTGCTTAATGGAAAAACACCAATTACAAAACAATCCCGTTGTCGATTAAAATGTTTTGCTGCTAGGACATTTTTTTAATTTGGAAAACTGCAGTGGACACATGAGTGTCATGACAAACTTATTCACACGGGATTTTAAATTGCAAATTTTTGTTTTTCCAACATTAACAGAATATTGACAAAGTCTGTAATGGAGGCATTGAGCTTCGGGGGCGTGGCTATCAGGAGCTTATCTGGATTTAAAGTGACAGGAAACAATGTTTTGTATAGGCCACTGACCAGTTCAAGGAAGCATAATGGGTCACCTTGGGCAGGTTGACCTCTGGTGACCTTCTTTTTTTTAAATCTTAAAAATTATAACGGCACAAACGTAGTAGCACAGTTAACCGACTCCATATTCCATTTGATTTTTCCAGGTTTATTGACCTTTGACCTCTGGATCCACTTATTGATCTCTTTGAAATCAGTTTAATTTAATTTGAAGAGCAGGTGATGGGAGACCGACTCTCCGGTGTGTCGGGCGAACACCAGCAAACTAAACCAAAGCTCTGTGTGCGAGCAGCTTCTACCTACAGGAGCCGGATCTGTCGGGTCCGGTTTCATGTCCTGATGCGGGCGAGGAACGCTCAAACGCCCCTCCCCTCTCTACCATCCTGCACATGTGCGGAGAAAGCAGGAAAGTCGACGTCCTCCAGGGTTTTTCCTCGTACAAAAAAATATTCTAACCCAGTTTCTTCTCGTCTTTAGTCGTCAGTAGTGCGCGCCGTGTGAAACATCCAGTTCTGTTTGTGTCTCTGTTTGCATTGTTTCTGTTTCCTCCTGATTCCCGTCCGGATCAGGTCCGGGGAGCAGCGGCGGCGGCGCTGTGGTCATTGGCGATGTGCTGAGTGGAAGACGGAGCGCCGTCTCTCCCCGTCCACCCGGCCGTGGTGCGGCTGCTCCGCCGGCTCTCCACGGAGTCTCTGTCGCGCGCCTCCCCCTGCGTGGAGTCTCCCCCGAGGGGGCGGCGGTCCTGTCAGAGCCTCTCGATGTCCCTGTATTTTTTGCGGAGGATGGAGACCTGGTCCTTGAAGAGCACGGGGTCCAGCCTCACCTGGGAGTGGACGAGCGGCATGGCGCCAAACCAGCTGGCGAACTTGTTCATGCAGGTCTGCCGCTGGGCGAAGTGGTCCGGGTCGGCCCAGCGGGACGCCCGAGAAGACTGCAGGAGGAAACACACATTTATAAAACATGACTTACAGTTAGAGTCATGCAGGTTTTCAGAGATCTACTTACATTTAGGTAAATGTAACCCAGATCTGACTGTCATGAATGTCTGAATGTCCCAGTTGTGATTTTTTAACCCACACAATAAATCTAATTTGTTATAAACAGGAGATGTTGCACCTTTGCCAACTTTTCCATCATAGTTCTGCTGCAGAAGAAGCCAGAGGCGTTAAATCAGGACGTAAACAACGGCTGAAACACAGCAAACCTCTTCATTTACCATCATTTCTGGAAAATAGCCTCAGTCTTTTCAGTTTGGTCGGTCCTGAGACTTAAATAGGTTTTTTTCCCCTGTGTTGCATTTTTATGTCGGAAAACATTTTCTATTTACAGCAGCTTTTCATCAAAGGATCTGATTAATGAGCTATTTGAAATATTTGTCCCTTTTATGTTCATACTTTGATGTTTTCTGAAGTATTTGTGTATGAATGTTGCTAAATAAATAAACTTGCTTTATCTAAACAGTGCAGATTATTGAGACTTAGACAGACGGAGGAGTCTGAGATTTAAAGAATGAAAAACGTGGGAATCCTGTCAGGAACTCAACTGAAGGACAGATGGATAAAAACGCTTTAAATACTGGATAAACAGCGATTAAAGCTAACGGTTCAGACCTACTAAATCATGTTTGATCCATGATGATGAGCTCTGATTTTATGAATGGAAGCAGACGGGCTCTTCTGTTTTATTTCTCTGGAACGATTCGTCTAACATTTCAACTTCTGATTCAGGCTCCGTCTGCAGAGACGGGAAAACCATCAGAGGAGCAACAAGCTTCTCCATCAATCATCGGCCACTTCGTGTTTTTGGTTTTGGGAATCTGGACGTCGTTTCCCTTGTTTCTGAGCTTTTGTCCTGCGGCCCCCAGGGGCCTAGCTAAAGTACAGCGTTATAAATCAAGCTGTTGAGAAGCAGGGAGAGCTGGGTGCAGCTCAAAGGAAACAATGGCTGCAAGATGAGTCACGGCTCAGAAGAAGGAAGAAAATCAACATAATACAGGTTCTGGTCCAACGCTACAAGCTTCATGATTTACTGCATTAGTGATGATAATAAAGTTATTTTGGTTCCTCCCCACCTGCCCCATCATGGTCTATTAGTAATAATAAAGTTATTTTGGTTCCTCCCCACCTGCCCCATCATGGTCTATTAGTAATAATAAAGTTATTTTGGTTCCTCCCCACCTGCCCCATCATGGTCTCCTTGTACTGCTTCTTCTGTGTGATCTTGATGGGCGGCAGCTTGGTGACGGCCGACACCAGGAAGTTCATCAGGATGTCCTCGCAGTTGGCCAGCTGGTCCACCATGTTCTTCAGGCTGCTGGGCAGGTAGTGGGTGTACAGGAAGTGGTAGTACCTAAGAGACGGGAGCTGGATTAGGATTACGCTGAGATTACAGAACAGAGTTACTCTATTTGGGATTTAAATATGGCGGCTACTGACAATCGGATTTAAAAAATTGGTACATTTAGCTTCATTTAGCCTCTAAAGCAGAGTTGGGTAGTAACTAGTTACATTTACTCAGTTACTTTTACATAGCATAACAAAACAATAGTATTGTTTATCACAATAACGTATGGGACAATTTATCGTTCAGCAACAGTTATAGTGGTGAGAGCTAACCTGGGCTGACAGATGGAAGGATGAATGGATAGATGGCTAGAAGACACTTTTAGAGAACAGGACAGGGAGTAAGTGGTGGGATCTGGAGAGACGAGCGTCTTCCATATTATATTTCCTGAATGATGCTTCTACTCCAGCGTGATGAGAGCCGTATTAGTAGTGATTAGGCGGTGCTGACTGGCTGACTCCGGCCTGATGTGGCATCCTCCTACCAGCAGACTGAAGCCATATTAAAGCTGACAGGACATCAGCTGAGCCTCATGTAGGAGCTACAGAGCTCTGCGTTCAAGACAAATTGACTTTTATTTTAAAACGCAGTCGGTGTCAAAACCCTGGTTTCCTGAGGCTGTGCTCCACTGAACATCACATCTACTTTATGAACTGCAGATCACTGCTTCAAAGCGCTCCATCAAAACGGAGACGAGCTGGAGGGGATTCTCTGCAGACTCAAAGTGGGCGTTTCTACAGACTGGCTAAAGATTGACTGATTGGCTACTTCCAGCAACAGAAATATTTCAGAAACTTGCAGAAATCATCTATGGTGACTGCTTTAAAAAGTTGAATGAGAAAAAAAGAAGCTAAGAGTACAATTTCTTTGTCTCAAAAACCAATTTAAGTAACTTTTTTTGTGTTTTCAATATACATTTATCCACATTATTTCAGTAACAATAACGGCTTTTGTTTTTAATGTAATGAAAAGATATCAACATCCTCTTCTTACTCTCATTTCTGAGAAGTCGCTACTGTAAAACTGCGGGATTTATATTGATGCTCTTATTTTGAAATGTAATCGGACGTACCCTGTTAAGAGGCGGAAGGAGACGTTATGGAGACGCCGCTAACGTCTGAACGGCTAACACAATCTGTCTGCTGTTATTACATCTAAGTGGAGCAATCACACAAAGTTTTCTGACACAGTTTTACATCATTTAGGAAGAAAAACTATTTCTTTGTTTTAGAGTAGCAAGATATGAACATTTCTTAAAAATCGCTACCGATTTATGTTGATGCTCTTATTTTGAAATATAACCGGATGTTCTGTTAAGAGGGGCGGGAGGAGACGTTAAGAAGACACTGCTAATGTCGGGCCAGCTAACGCAACCTGCCTGTCGTCTTAGTATCTAAGTGTAACCAACCCTGAAGTCTTCTGATATCCTGGATTACATTAGCGAGCCCATAAAACGAAACTGAAAAATAACAAATTATTAAAAATCCGAATCCGTAGAAGTAAACTATTTAGTAAAAGAAAACGTCGAATGACGGACGTTAGTTTTGTCCAATCAAATGCGGCTTTTGAGAAACGTCTTCCTGTGCAAAAGCCTACTTCGTCTGTAGACGTTCCCACTTATATTATGTACCATTTACTTAAAACCTACCTGTGGAACATGGCGGCGCCGGTCAGAACCATAGAGTAGTCGTTGGTCCATTTGGAGGTGTAGCCCCAGCGCTCCTTGTTGCTGTCCCAGAAGTGGCTGCGGGCCGGATAACCCACGATCCGCTCCGGGAAACTCTGCCAGACGGTGAAAGCAAAGTCCACCTGGACAAAACGGTAACAAGGAGAGAATTTACCGTCAATATCATGAGAAAAACCCCCAAACAGATTTATGCAGGGTTGGTACACTTTTCAGTAAAAATACAGGCACTTTTTAGTACGTTTTCAATCTTTTCCAGCACCACACCTTACAAATTAATAAAAAAAACAAACTATTTCAATTCACTATTATATGATGTATTAGTTAACGTCTTGTGATAATATTCAACATTGTACGTAAATTAAACTTGTGTTTTGTAATGTCTCTCGCACATCATGTACCCGACTGCTATGAGAAAAAACACAAATAACACCCACAAATTGTGAGTAAATGATCTTAATGCTCAAATTAAATACTTAAAGTTACAAAACAAATAATAAAAAAAAAATTGTTAGGTTTTTTGGAATTCACCAAATAGAAATAATTTTTGTAATTCTAACGAACCTAAAACTGAAGAAGTTTAGTCTGATTTTACTTCAGACAGTGAGAAATAAAAGTTTTGTGTGTCTTTTTATTGGGTGTATAAAACTAACTGGTTTCACCTGTAAATAATGCTTTTGAAATGTAGGCTTTTATTCAAACATTAAATTAATCTTTATTACAAAACTGAAGTTTGAAAATAAAGCACTTTCAATGACTTTACATGGATATCAAGGACTTTCCAAAACTTGAAAACACCTAATTGAAACTCAAGGACTTCAAGCAGCAGTATGAACTGTGACTTTAAGCAATTACTTAACTATCCACAGTAGAAATTATTTAATTTCAGTTATCTGATTCAAGAAGTAAAACATAAAGTGATACATATTAAGGGTTAAATTAAAGCTTGTAGGGAGGTTTGTGGTAAATTGAGTCACCCCTTGTTGCTAGGAAACGGGAAAAACACTGATCAGGGAACCAAACAGGTAGGAGGGCTGCATCATTTAATGAAGTTCGTAAAGGTAAGAAGCATCATGGATAAAGTGGTTAAGACTTTTATTTCTTTAAAAAAAATATTTTTAACTTTTTAAGGTGAATTTAATCCATCATAAGCAAAGAAAACTGGGACAAAAATCTCCAAAGTGATGTCAGTTCCTGCCTTTAAGGGGGACGAATACTCTCTCATTTATAGGTTTGGATTGTTTTTCTCTCATAATTCGTTTGATTACTGAGGTTATCTTTCTGAAACAAAAGCAAAAATGGGCCCAGTCCCCTCCACTGCGCCTCACATAAAACTCTGGAGTAAACAGGAGGATAAAAAGAAAGACTTTGTTTAGATGAAAGCCCAAAAGCGTCGCGGTGAAGAAAAAGTTTTCCTCTGAGCTGACATTAAAGCTGCGACTTCTAAAACCTACGGAGAACAGTTTGTGCTCAGCTATCTTCATGGGAGGAACACAGGTGGAATTAGTTTTGGGTGATGGATTCCTGCCTCCCTCGGCTCTGCCATCTTGATCCGCACCAGCAGCCTTTTTATGAGATCTAATTCTGCGCTCTTCAAAGCAGCATCTGGCTTCCCATGGTGCTGCGCCAGAACTCGTCCCCAGTTTTAAGAAAAAAAAAAAAACACACATAAACACCAAACCCAGGAATGATCCTGGTACACTTTTCCACAGCATGTGGAACAAACAGAAACAAACAAAATCACTGCTGCTCCCAATTAGGCAAGCGGACAAGATGGGTTTCCAACAGACAAAAAACTGAACAGAAGTGAAAGTAAGACAAGAGATTTATAAATAAAACCAGAATAAAGATTGTCTATTAGGCAAAACTCACATTTTGCACATTTTTATACTTCTGTTTGGGTCTCAACTGATTCTAAAACCACTTACCACTCTAAAAGCACTTAAAAAACCCACCCTGCTGTTTTTTGGCAAAAAGTTAAAGATGGTGTCTGGAAAATGAGTCATTTCAAAAACCTAAGTCACAAATCAGCAAGCACTGCCCGTCACCTAGCAACCCCTGCCCGTCACCTAGCAACCCAAGTTGAGTTCCAGAACAATTTGATCACCTGAATAGTCAGCCCATATATACACCACTGAATATAAAAATATCTAAAAAAAAATCCAAAAATATAAACAACTGTATATCAATAAAGTACCTACAGATAAAATTAAGTAGAAATACAATAAATAGATCCAGAAAATGATTTTTTTGTACGTACAGTGCACATCTTCACAGAGCTCACATGAAGCTAACTAAAAAGCACATGTGATTTATTTGTTGTTGCTGTAGCCATGTTGGTTGTGAAAGAAGCTCCATTTAAGCTTTTAAAGATGTACGGTTGTATAATTGCGTATCTGTTTGCTGAGTGTAAACATTGAGTTGGGGGCGTGGCCAGAAACAGCTTATTTGGATTTAAAGTGACAAGACGCCTTAAAACAACCCATTATGAAATCAGCTCAAAATAGGCAGAACTGAACAAACTAAAATCTCATTATACGATTTTGAGCAAAAAACGTAGTGAACATGTTTTGTATACATCTACACTGACATGTTCAAGGAAACTTAATAAAGGTGTTTGATCTGCAGGTAGCCGAACGGAAAGATGGCGGCTGTGGTGAGGAGTTACCTCTGTGGTGGACAACACGGTGTCCTCGTCCAGGCTGAGGACAGCGTCTGTCACGATGGACTCGTACGGCAGGAAGCGGCTGCTCATGACCTGCAGGGAGGAGAAACAGAACCCAGAGTGAGAAACGAGCCAGAACAGCTGCAGAACCGGGTTCATAAGTGATTATTTGGTTACGAAGCTCAAAGAGACTGAGAGAGCAAAGGGAACCAGATAAACTCTCAATTCATTATACATAGTTGGATTTTTCCTCTTCCTTTTGATGATTATAGTTTGGAAACAAAAAATCTGATCTCAGGGCATTTTATTATTACATGCAACTTGGACAAAAATAATTGATCAAATGGTAAAAAATCATTAAAAAACAATTACATAGAAAATAAAAATATACAAATAAATAAGAGGAAAGGAAGCAGAAAAAGAAAAAAAATCTTTTATCTCTTTTATCCCAAAAATGTTCAAATAGGTTTTTGCAAATAACAAAACCAAACAAAAACAAAATCAACTCAAAAACAATTTGTATTGTGATTAATCATAACTGAAATAATCAAACAAATTTTGTAATCAATTTATCATTCAGTTAAGTTCATATACTTAACTGAAGTATATGAACTCAAAAAGGCTAGCTGGAAAAAACAATATTCTGAAAAGTAATTAAGCCAAACAAAATATAAATGTACATTTTGCATTTAAAATATATAAAAAACTTTGTCTATGGATACGTTCATGGAAAATTAAGTGGAAGGAGGAACTGTAGAAAACATAAGCGCATACACAGAATGCTGCATGTCTGTATAAGAATTTATCTTATTTATTTCACATAAAGGAAAAAAGTGTAACAGATGTTAACAGGAGGTTTGGGGAAAGAGATGTGTTCAGGTCATGATAGTTAGAACCAATTTTAGAAACATGTTTGGAGACACAGCAGTGAAGTCACTGAGAAAATGGCATAAACACATAGTCAACTAGCAAGCAACCTAGCAAAGCTAACAAAAGCCCGGGATCCAAAAAAGAGTTTATTCCAGATTTCTACGTCTAAAAACGACTCATCATCTGTAGCCAAGACAGACAGCAGTTCACAGTGAATTTACAGCAGCGTAATGCTAATACGTTTCCATAGCAACCTTTCAGAAGAGCACAAGTCATTGTAAGAGTCGCATTTCAACAGTAAAATAACTTCCTGTTGATTCAGACAGACTCAGCTGGCAGTTCTTCCTCTCATCTTCTGCTAATTTGGGTCGAGTGGCGACTTAACAAGACGGAGCGTTTTTCATTTAGCCTGGTTGTGTAAGAGCGGCAGGAGCATCAACAATAAATCAACACCAATGTTCATACAGGGATGCAAGTTATTGATTAATGAGTCAATCTTATTGATCTGCTAATTTCATAAGCGGCCATTTTCTTACAAACCAGAGTTTTCTCTTGTAACACGAGGCTGACTGCTTTTTCATGAAATGATGGGAATTTCAAAAGAAACAGTGTTAAATTTTAACATTATTTTGTGTCAGTTGTTTTAAGTACTGACCAGGTAAAACATAAAATTGTGGTTTTCTCACATGATTAAGCTTAAATAATTTATAAAACATAACAAAATAGAAGCTTCTTAAGCTAAGAGAACTTAAGGAGCTTGTTGAGTGTTTATATTTATGAACAGAACCACATGAAATAAATTTTTCATCACAAACTGGACTCTGTTTAGACCGTTTCTCTTTCCCGTTCTGGCATAGCGCTGCCACCTTTGTTTCCTTGTCAACTGGACCCACTTAAGGGTGGCCTGTGGTGCCCTCTGCTGGTTGGAGACCAAACTACAACACTGAAAAAGACCTAAGCAAACATTATTAGTTAACTGACAAGAATTAATTTAAATCTAATAAACCATTAATTGACGATTATTAAGTCTTAATTGTTTGGATGCACTAACGCAATATGAAAAGGTAAAACAAAGGATTTTCCTGCCAGCATTCCTGGGATTCAACTACAGACTGATGTAGAGGTTTAATTGCTCTCAGTGACTGAGGTCATGCATGCAGACGGAGCTGCAGGCTATGCATGGATCTGAAGGAAAACGAACCATAAACCAAGCTGAAGCCAGCAGACGCATGTCAGATGGTTATCAGGTCCTGACAGAAATATGGTTGCAGCTCTGCTGACTCAGCAGCCACTGAGAAGGACAGGTAGCATCCAGATGGTTATCAGACAGTTACTCCTCTCCAAAGACATTAACAGAACAAGTACAAAGTCTAAAGTTAAATTAGAGCTGAAAGAATCTAGGAAGAAAACGGACAATTTACTTTCCTGACTCATGTTAGAAAATGTGAGTCAGAGCTGCTTGGAATAAAAGTAGATTTCTCATTTAAAGACAAATGGCAGATTTAGCTTTAAGTGTGACCTATTATACCTCCTTGAACAGGTTAGGATAGATCTATGGTCTATTCAAAACATGTTCATTACATGTTTCTGCACAAAATTATTCTCAGATCATGAAATGTTAGTCTGGTCAGTTCTGCCTGTTATGGCCTCCTTTCAGAGTGAGATGTTTTAGGGCCTCTTATCACTTTTCTCCAAATAAATCCAACTCAAGAAAATGGCTGCAAATAGATTTGCGATTATGCAACCGTACATCTATGAAAAGCAGAAGTGGAGCTTCCTGCACAACCAAAAGGAATGAATTAAGTAGTTTCTGGATGATAAGTTAACAACTATATACTCGTCTTTTCCAGAAGCCATTGTACAGGGCACACAGAGGGAAAACCAGCTGATCAAATGTGCTGGAATTCTGCTGGGGTTGCTAGGTGATGAGTGGAACTCTACCGGGGTTGCTAGGTAACGGCGCAGTGCGCATGTAATTTGTCCTAACATTTGGAAGGCTTTTGAAATGGTTCATTTTTCTAGACACCAAAAAACTTTAAACTTAATGCCAAAAACTGTCTGGGTGTCTTCATTTAAACGCTTGGATTGTTTTTAAAAGCAACTGAGAACCAAATGGAAGAACAAAACTGTGTAAAATATCACATTTAAGCATGCATGGATCCACTGCCTCCCTTCAATCTGGACAGAAAAATGCACCCTGAGATGAATTCAAAAATAAATCCCCTCACTCTTTAGCTCCCAATATCTAAGGTATGCATTTTTAATGGCACCTCACATTCACAGGATTCAGGGGAGACAACAGGCCATGACAACAACAAATGGCGGCTTGGAAAGAGGGGAGGGAAAAGCAAATCTCCTGCTCCTTCCTGCAGGGCGCGGCCTGTCGTTTTCAGCAGTGATGTAGTGCTGAAACAAGTTTCCATTACTGCTGCAGGCGCTTCTTTTCTCCTTTAAATCAATAAAAACACAGAAACGGACCCAGATACATGCTGCAAGTCTTGTGTTATACATGTGGCACAAATTTACTCTTCTCCTCCACGCCCATTTGAAAGCAGACTACGTACATTTTGCAGCAGAAGAAGCCGACCTGTATTATACATGACAGCCGCTGAATATTTACAGGAAGCGGAGAGAGTGATGGGGGCTGGAGGAGTGGAGTAACATCTTGAGGATATTTAGATTGAAACGGTTGCAGTGATGAAAGGAGGAGAAAAGGAACAGCAGATTCTTGATGGAGATTTGAACCGGATGTGAGCTGCAACTCCCACAGCTTCAGACAAACACATGGGTTTAATTGGTGTTGATGCACACACACACGCACGCACGCACACACGCACGCATGCGGTTCTGTCACGTCTTCCAAGCTAAAATCAAAACACAGAATCCTTAAGTCATGATTCTTAATCGATTGTTTGTGTTGTTTTTTTTCATTTTTTAAGTATGGAACCGGAAAGAACTGCAAAAATGAAGGATGGATGATGGATGGATAGTTGGTTGGATGGACAGATGGACAAATGAATGGATGAAAGTACTGAAGAATGGAGGGATGGAAAAATGGATGGGGGAATGATTGGATGGATGAACGGAGGGATAACAGGTTGGATGTAAGCATAAACGGGTCCAGAGAATAACTTTTGGAGATGAAGGCATTTCCTCGTCTGGATCTGGCGAACATTTAAATTCGTGGTCTAGTAAAAGTCTCCCTCACATTAAAGCCAGTAGAGAGGAGCCTCTGATCCAGAGCTCAGCAGCTCCTAAAGGTCCGGCCTTTTAAAGGAAAACACCACCTGCACGGAGGAGACGGTCCCATCCTCTGTGCTGGACCGTTTCCTCCGGGAACACCTGCGGGCCGGGACCGACCTCACCCTCCGCGGTGTAAATCACCGCTGCAGCTGAGGGCGGAAACGCGCAGCAACAACACGCTGGCTGCAGCAACAACACGCCGGCTGCAGCAACAACACGCCGGCTGCAGCAACAACACGCCGGCTACAGCAACAACACGCTGGCTGCAGCAACAACACGCCGGCTGCAGCAACACGCTGGCTGCAGCAACAACACGCCGGCTGCAGCAACAACACCCCGGCTACAGCAACAACACGCTGGCTGCAGCAACAACACGCCGGCTGCAGCAACAACACGCCGGCTGCAGCAACAACACGCCGGCTACAGCAACAACACGCTGGCTGCAGCAACAACACGCCGGCTGCAGCAACACGCAGCAACGACACGCCGGCTGCAGCAACACGCAGCAACGACACGCCGGCTGCAGCAACACGCAGCAACGACAC